TTGTTAGATTTTATTAAAACTCGGTATAGAGGGATTTTTTTTGGGGTCGCTAATTACAATTCCCACGTAAACATTACAGAATTGAAAATGACGGATTCAATATGGCGAATCATAATTTCGAGAAATCAACAATTTTTTTAGATTTTTTAGATTTTATTATTAGATGCATTAATTCAAATTTCAAAATTCCGGTGAGTTAGGTTTGCTGTTAAAAAATTTTGTACAAAAGTTTGTAAATAATATTATGACAATATTAGGATAAGATAAGATAAGTAAAGTTAGATAATTTTTTAAGAAGATTTCTACAAAATTAGTAGTTTATCCGCAATTTGCTCGCAATTAAATTAGTCAAATTTTTTCAAAATTTTTTCTAAATAATCCACATTATATAAGATTTTCTTTGTGTCTCATCGACTGCGTCTTCATGTGAGTGAAGTCTGTAATCAGAAATAATTTGTTCTGCAAAGAGTTAACAAAATTCGCACGATCAGTCTCTAAAAGTCACGAATACTTTAAACAGTCACACGGTACCATACTCGCGGGCCTTACGTAATATTCCATATGTCTTGCTTTATTTTTGCTACTGCGTAGAATGTTTGGCATTCGCCACGATCGAAAAGGAAATTAAAGACCTCCATCGGGGATTAATTGGTAGTCCGTGGTCTCGTTTGAAAGCGTTCAATCTCGACGCGGATTACGCAGGACAGGAAAGGATTACGGTTAGACGCGCGGTAATTAATCGAGATATTCGTTAACCGAGGAAAGCGAACGGAACGTCGCGCGAACAATGGGGAGGAAGAGGTTGCATTTGCCGTCGGGCGAACATCTTCTGGCTCCTCTTTTTTCCATCGCACGACGAACAAGAGGCATGCTTTATGCCGTTCCCGCTAATTTCACCACCGATATGATCTGATCGCGCTTCGTTTTACCGCCAGCTACTATATCAATCATTTCTCAACGCTGCTCGCGCGAGCAGCAGGCATGGGAACCGAGTAGCGAGACGCGGTAACCGGTCGCGACGTCCCGTAGATACCGACGAGTGGAATCTCGCGAGCACGCAAAATCCGCGCTCCGTTTTCACGTATGAAATAATATCAATTAAGTGTTGCGCGAACACGCGCGGTGAAATTTCGAGGACCGATTCCTAGTGAACGAGAATGTAATTAACATGTTGAATGCCGCGACGGTCATCGGTAACCGGAATTATGACACTGCAGTATCTCATTAAGTTATATATAAAGTATAATTAATTTCATTTATACGAAAAATCGATCGAGCGTGGCCAATAGAGAGGTAATGGAATGAGGTAAAGGATACATGTGGTTCAAATTACGTTGATTTATATGTTTGGTAATTCAGTCATCAATTAAGCTTTTGTACAATCAACAGAAATTGCCACGGCGGTCAATATGTTAATGTATTATGGGCCGCTACTCTGTTTTTAAAAACTTTCTCTGAGAAACCGGACAAAGTTTGAAAATAAGTGAGAGGTTAAAACAGTATTTAGTGAACACTTGACGATCGCTATAACGTACGCGTGACTTCATTCTGCCGATGGTTATCGTCTTATTAAAGAATATTTGCCAATAATAACAGCCTATAATTATAATATTATAAAAGTTATATAAAGATATAGATTAGTAGGTTTATATATTGAGCAAAAATGTTTAAAAAATAAGATATTTTTATTTGGTGAGTTCTAATAATATATTTATTTCAATCTAAATTTTTATTTAAATAGAACAATACAGCATTCAATGCGTTTTATTACGTGTTTTATTTCTCATTGTTAATTGCAGCATTTCTGCTGTAATGCCTTTTTAACAGCCTTTGTGATCTTATGTCGTAAATCTTCATTTTCAAGAATAGTTGCATAGTCATGACAGTATCCTTAATACGTCCCTAAAGGAAAAAAAATCGCAAATCAAGTCCGCAGACCTCGCGTTGAATGCTGTGTCGAACATGATGATTAAAATTTCGAGCAATTTATGTGTTAATAAATGTCTTGTGAGAAAACATTGTTTTTTTTAACCTCATTGTCATTCCAAACCACTTTTAAAAATACTTATACTCCAACTTACTTTAATACTTAAGATGTCCGTTATCTCGTAAACGATGCATACTAGCAATTTTTTACTGGATATGATTTTGATTGCAAATTACCTCTACTGTGTAAATATGCAAAAAAATTATAAGTATCCATTTAAAAAAACTACGTTGACCTTCATAACTTAAAAAGGTCACGAGTAAAAAAAAATGTTTACATGCATTTTGTAGCTGACTAAGAGCCACGTAATGACAATAAATTTCTCTTATTAAACTTTTTTGTAACTTTAACCAGTTATTTCAACCAGAGATATTTGCTCGGACATGTATGAACGGACACCCTGTGTGTATATATATATATATATATATATATATATATATATATATGTCGCAGTAACAACAAATATTTTTAGCAAGATTGTCGCAAAAAAAATCAAAATTCAGAAAAGTCCAAATATGTAAATAATTATATATATATATATATATATATATATATATATATATATATATATATATAGAGAGAGAGAGAGAGAGAGAGAGAAAGAGAGAAAGAGAGAGAGACAAGTAGAGAATATAATATTTAATTATTTATGAATTTATAAATATAAAAATCATTAAGAAACGAAAATGTAATCTCAACATATAAAAATACAGTCTCAACATATTTCTCATATAGAGGTGCTCCTGAGACAGAACGTCTCAAACACAGTAGTTCAGCTGTTGAGCCTGGATCGGAGAGGGAAAGGAAATGGAGAGAGGGAGAGGAATATTAGGTGTCGCATCAGAAATTTACCCGAAATATGCATTTCATTCCAAGCACTGGTCTAGTTGATGGGGACAAAGAAGGAGAAGAAGTAATCACATATAGTCAATATGTCCTCTTTTTCTTTCACTAGGTTTCACTCTCTTTTTGGTTTATGTCCCACATCACTTCCTCTTCAACACTGTCTGATAAAGAAAGCACTTTTCTCGATATATCTCTATCCTCTTTATTCCTGTTTTTAGCCGTCTCATAAGAATGCGCAATGTATCTTTATATAAGTCGACAGAACCGAATGACACAGGGATACGAATGACCCGACGTTCTCCCCTGACAGTCCAGTCTCTCGCGATCGCACGACGAGCTTCCGCGCATATTTGCGATGCCGCGCAGCAGTAGCTTTCTTCGCTATTACGGAGAACGGCGTTCCGCACGGTGTGTCCGTTCCAGTTTAATTCCGCGTGATCTAATCCGATCGCAGTCCTTCTGGCCGACCGACCCTGATCGAGCTGCTGCGTCGGGAGAACCGCATTCTGAGTCCCGCACAAGGATCACTTTCGCTTCGTTCATCGCACGCGCGTTCTGCGCAATCATGCATCTCGATGTTACCCGCGCACGATCTCATGTCTGCGGGAAAGAATCGCTGTTTTTCCCAACGTCGAGGTGCGAGCGTACGTGGTCGTACAGTCACTCCAGTTATATCCAGTTAACCTCTTGAGCGCCGTGGACGCATATATGCGTCCGACGGATTTTTAGTGGATATGCATTATCCCGGAGAAAATGTACTAAAGTTAAAAGCGCAGCGATTGCCAAAAGTATCAAAATTCAAAATTTGCGAAACAATCTCTTGAAAAATACAATTTGCTCATTTACTTATCTTACCGAAATACGGGGATTGTCTCGTTGTATAGTCGTGTATATTAGTGTCTATTCATATATACACACATTTGAATAAAGTAAAAGTGTACCTAAACGGGATATCAGTAGATACACTGAGAAAAAAATATTTATCTAAAAATTAACAAATATTTATTAGGTGTGTGTGTGCATCAACATGTTTACTTAAATAAAAATTCTCTTCACTTAAACCGAATATTATTTATTTAGTTTAAGTAAATAATATTCTGTTTAAATGAAGAGAATTTTTATTTAAATAAATATGTATTCTATTTTCCAAAATTCCTTCAAAGAAAATAACAATAAAGAGAAAATATAAATCTAGATATGTTTATTCAGAAAAAAACCACCCTATATTAAAAGAAAGAATATCTAAAAAATATTTCTTTAGAGTATACTAATAACATATATTTATTTAAATCTTAATTTTTTTTAATAGAATAAACAATTGCTTTTATAGGAACCTAAGATTTTTCTTAAGATTTTAAGAAAATATATATTTTCTTATTTAAAAAATATTCTATTGATATTACTACCGCGAATAAATATTTTATATTTTTTTCATATTTTCTCTTTTAGTGTGTGAATTAAGCTATAATTTCAAATTTCACTTGAAGAGTTATAACGTATTGTTATAACGTATTTCATTTTGCATTGAGCTTCCTCCTACAGTACAGTGACAGAGAAAGCACTTTATTTAACATAACTCTATCCTTTATTACACTGAGAGAAAAATTACTTTAAAATCAATAAATATTTCCTTGATGGGTGCCATTAACATATTTATTTAAATCTAAATTCTCTTTATTTAAACCAAATACTGTTTATTTAAATCAGGTAAACAATACTTAATTTAAACCAAGAGAATTTAGATTTAAGTAAATATCTTAATGGCACCCATCAAAGAAATATTTGTTGATTTTAAGATAATTTTTCTCTCAGTGTACTGACTTTAGTTGTCTCATAAGAAAATGCGCAGTTTGTCCTTATTACGATTCCGTCTTGAGCAATTATTTAGCTCTGAAGTGTTGTATTCACGAAATTACGAATCGCGATTGATGTTGGTCGCAATAATTTATTCTAGCAACGATTCACGATCGATTTTCATCGATTGACGTACAGCAGTCCAAAGTATTTCGTCATATGCAATTGTTTAGCTTTAAAATACATCAAACAGGTCAAAGTCACGCACAACGGGTCAATTCGTACGAGTTCCTTTTCTCATATCATTTGACGTTCTCAAGTTCGCAAATCAGAGAACTCGTTATTGCTCAAACGACGATCTTTTGTATTTCAGGGTCGTTCGAGACACTGGATCGGTGGTTGAATGTAACGGGATCATTGAGAAATTCCGTTTGCTTGTCGAATGATACGAGGAACACTGTATGCGCGCTTAATCCGCCCATTTAATTCGTACATTCATAAAATTCTGCAGAGTCACACACAGCCGATACCTTCAGATCATACCGCGAACACTTTCACACGCGCGACTCCTCATTGAGGCTTTCTCTCGCACGTTCTCCGCCAATGAAGAGGAAACGTATTTATTCGCGTGTCGGGATCGATAATAATTTAAGTGGTCCTTTTGTCTCGAGTGAATCTTTAAATGGTGATACGGATGGTGATAAAAATTAAGGTGGATGGGCGACACCGAGGTGTCGGACGAGGATAGGAGCCGACAGAGCAGAGGAGAGATATTTCGTACGCGTGCTCTTGCGTACTCCGACTTAGTTCCCCTCCAACCCGAATAGTGGCGAGTGCCGGTGAACTAAATTACGCGCGCGCGAGAACTATACTAGGAGAAAATATCTAAAAAATATTTATTCAGTAGATGCTAAGAACATATTTATGTAAGTCAAGATTCTTTTATTTAAGTAGAATACACAATTGTTTTCTTAAGGAAAGTTTTCATACAACATTGTGACGTCTTAAAGATGTCTTGTTTAAGATTATTTTAAGATCTTTACGTATATATGCTATTATAGATTCCTGTAATTATACAGGGTGTACCAAAACAACGTTCAAAGTTTTTATGTACTGAGAAATAGCGGTTGGATTGACAAAATCGGCGGTTACCGGCCATCAAAGAAATATTGGATTTATTCAACAAAATACAATGTTAATGCAACAATAAGTTGCGTTGAAATCACAATATCAATGTAGGAAGAAGCTCAATGCAAAATGAAATACGTTATAACAATACGTTGACACGTCTCCACTTTTAAGATATTATACTGGCAGTTTAATCTCTTCAGGTGAAATTTGAAATTATAGCTTAATTCACACACTGAAAGAGAAAATATGAAAAAAATATAAAATATTTATTCGCAGTAGTAATATCAATAGAATATTTTTTAAATAAGAAAATATATATTTTCTTAAAATCTTAAAAAAATCTTAGCTTCCTATAAAAGCAATTGTTTATTCTATTAAAAAAAATTCCATCCAACCGCATTTTTTCTCAGTGTGGAGGTATAGTACGAATTGAATATGAAAGTCTTATATTATTTTGTGACATTCGCAATAATTATCGAGATATTAATTAAAAAGAATTTATGAATGGTCATGCGAGAAATATGATAGATGAGCCGTAGTAGCAACATCTGCAATTGTGTGTTTGTACATTAGGTAAACTGAATAAAAAAGTCCTTTATTTTTTTCCCAATAAATTTGGTAGACTTTTTGTTATTAATTAGATAACGTTAATATTATTATCGACCGTCCGCCAATCTTCTTTAATTAATAATTAAAAATCTACAAAATTATTAGGAAAATGGTAGAAGACTTTTTTGTTTCAATTTCTATCTATTATTATAGTTATTTAATGTACAAGCACATGATGGCAGATGTCGTCACTACAGTTCATCTACCATATCTCACGTGATTATTCACAAATCTTCTTTAATTAATATTTCGATAATTATTGCGAACATCACAAAGCGGTATAGGACTTTTATGTTCATCTCAATCCGTGTCTCCACGAGAGCTTTGAAGATTCTTCTGGGACACTCTGTATACATATTAAAAAAGAAAAAGTATTTTATTTATTATCGTTTATTTGCTGTAGTCGGTTCAGACTACAGCATGATTAGACTATAAATTTACTTATCCGTTCTGTTTAGGATTAAAATTAGATATTGATGATAGCTAACGGATAATAATAATATTCGGCACACATCCTTTAAATGTTAAAATATATGCTGTCGAATAGCGGTATTTGGTAGTAATATAAATACATGATTTAAAGTTTGAAGCATCCCGGGTACCATCACCATTCGCTGTCATCGATAACTAATTCTAATCTTGACCAGATGAGCAAATCCACAGTCTAACTGTAATTCTGAAGAATCTATGCGGAAGAAAGAAGATTTTCACTCGCACAGAAACTTAAAGCAGCAAAATGACCGAATTATAAAAATTCACAATTTAATAACCTCTCTAAGGTTTTCTGTGCGTTATGTTTCACGTATACGACATTCGCAAAGACTAAGAGGCCGTTATGACAGTTGTTATAGCGACAGTGTACATAAATCATAGTCTCATACACTCATAGTCATATACTTATAGTCAGTATAATGTAGACTATTATATACATGGTCTTAAAAATGTCATTTAATAGATGTTATAAAGATGTCTGAAATAAGACATTTTTAAGGCGTTTCTAATAAGACGTCTGAAGTAAAATGTCTATAAGATGTTGTTAAGTGAAGTCTTAAGGACGTCTTATTTAAGACGTCTTCAAGACGATTTTTAGACACGCATATTGTCCAGGTTAAAATAAAAAAAAAATGTATATTTTCTCATTCAAAAAAATTGTTTTTACTGTATAAAAATATATATATTATTACAAGTAAATATATTATTAGTATACTGGACAAATATTTCTTATTTTTTAAATGTTTTATTTATTAGTTAAAATCTCGCTTCAACAAGTTCTATAATGAGTTCTATAATGAGTTTCTCTCTCTCTCTCTCTCTCTCTCTTAACATATATCTTCTGATATATTTTCTAATATTTTTTATGATATACTGCAAAGAAGTGGAAAAAATTTTATCTTTTATAGTTTTTGTATTGTTTAATTATGCCATTTACTGAATTAATCTTAATGATAAAAGAAATGAGTCATTTTGGTGTAATAGAAACTTAGTTTAAAATACTTTTATAAGTGAAGATATTATGAGTTCGAGTCGACCTAGACATCGTAATCTGTGCAGCTATCGGAACTGTCAGTATTGCGAGAGTTAAGTTGTCAGCAATCGAAAGTATACATCGATTGTAATAAAACTATATAATAAAATATTCTATGCGGAGAGTCGAGTTTGGATAGCATTACAACTGGAATGGATAGCATTACAACTAACAATTAATTCTTTGAATTCCAGCGTATCATTAAAGAGACATAATATTTCTAAAAAAAAAAACATAATATTTTGATTGCGATCTGTCTACATTGTTTAACGTTGACAGTATTACAGTACGCAAAATATCGAGTACAGCAGTGAAATTTCGTTAATATAGAAGCATGTTAAGGAAATGCTGAAGTCAATGACGAACTTGAGCAATCACAGAGACGATCGTCACTAACAAAATCACGCTATTCTTTTTATATTTCTTGTACATATAGAATTTAGGTAAATGTATGTTGTTTTGTTTTACTATATTCAGCGGAAAACGTAACCACGCATGTGTAAAAATCTTTCTGCAAACGTTGCGAGTATTCTTAAGCTTCTGAATTCAGGTGCGAAGGTACAATGTCTTTCAAAATTTTTCTGTTTGGAGCATCCACACTTTCGATATGTACGAGCTGCGATACTTTTAGATTAGGCTAATTGACATTACGCTAATTGACAGCTTGAGATTTTACATTTCAAATTTTTTTTTCATTTTCGTCACGTATTAAGCAATACTCCTATTTTATATTTTATACTTTTATTTTCGCACGTACTTTTATTGCGTAAAAGCATTTGTAATTCTGTATCAACAATCAATACAATGTAAACTTTGTAGAAAAATGTCAGTATTCTGTCGGTAAAGTTTTCAGCTTTAGCACCCTCTTAATTGCTTAAAGAAATTGTTGCACAAAATATATAATATAGCATGAAAATTTTTAACTGCAAGTTTCGAAATTCGTAATTTTACGTACCGAGTGAACAATATCAAATAATCTGCAAAGAACGTAATTATAACTTACTCAGATACTATTTTTATGTTATTAATATGACGTTTTCGTAGCTGCCTAATTATATTTATAGTTTATATATTTTAAAGAGAAAAACTATTTTTTTATTTTTCTCATTTTCCATTACACAAAATTTGTTTAATGTATCCCATTTGGAACCGCGCGCGCGTTTTCCAAATCAATCTCTTAAAACACCATCTACATCTGATATCCTTCTATTAAAGTGATACTAAATTTTCAAGATGAAAAAGTGAGATTTAGAAGATAAATAATTGAAAAAATACGTGACGTTTAAAACACACGGAAAATAAATTTAGTTAAATCCACCAAATTTCTGGTAAAATATAAACAGATCAGAATTCCGGTTAAAGTTACTAGAATTCTGTTTAAGTTAAGAAAATTCTAGTTGACCAGGTTAAGAATCTCTGGTTAACCAGAATCTGCGTTGTGTTTTATTCAAATTGAGCTGCAAGTTCTGCTTAACCAGAAATCTTATTAATTTAACAGAATTCTAGTAACTTCAACCGGAATTTCTCATTTGTTCATATTTTACCAGGTGAATCCAGTCAAATTATTGGTTAATCTAATCAAATTTTTTTCGTGCATCTTAAAATTCAATTTTAATAATATACTTCATTTTGTATATGCGCGCTCAGAAATCTCTTGATTATTATATGCGAAGAACAAATAATAGAGGTAACTTATGTAACACAATGTAGCATAATCATTTTTCCGTTTCCTCATTTACGTCACTGATTATGTCGATGAGTAAGAGTTCCCAGTTTACGTATCGCACCGCGTCATTCAGTATTCTTGTTTCGCGATGAATTTACAAACTGCATAACACATGCGCAAACGAACGTGAGAAAGGATCTAATTATCGTGACTTATCGACGAGAGACTTCCTGTTTATCGCGAATAAGAACTCTATTCTAACGCGAGTGAGACACGAAAATATTACGATAAGATCTTATAATTAATTATAGAATACGATTGGGCGACAGGTTTATTATCGTGCGGAAATTACCTCGTGCGTACATCGAGTGAAATTATTATTAATACGCGCGATAGAATGATATCTTTGAATCTTTTCTCCGGACGATATCCTGCTTCACATCAGCTGGACACATTGTACTCCAGTATTCTCATTCTTTCGCATGCCGACAGTCGTGATTCACACTAGTCGAGACTGGTCTGTATCCTACAACGTTGTATCCTGGTACGCACATTGCTCCACATGTTGGCAGCTCGTTTTCAAGTGACTCACAGCCGAGATCGAGATTGATCGATCGCGAAGTTTAAGGCATTTTAGCGCCCGTAATCGCTCTATTAAAAATTTAACCGCTCGTTTAATGTGCCGGCTGTTAAAGTTAATGATACGTTTGAGATAAGGCTACTTGTAGATTTCCTCGTTGCCGCAATTCAAGTTGAACAAAGTTGAAATGATTGATAAAAATTTACCATATTTGACGTGACGAAAATTTATACCTCTAAAATAATAATTTTATATTATTTTTGGAGCATAAATTTGAGTGGAGGAAAAAAGTGCTGTTCTATCATGTAGAATTTATTAATGGCTATTTATTAAATAGTTAATATAGAATAAAATCTTCCAGAAATCTTCTAGTTTCAGTAGCAATATTATTTAAACTAATACTCGAGATATTAACATTAAAACTACTAAAACAATCAAAATGATAAGTTTGCAAAAAATAAAAATTACACAAATTTATAACGATGTATTTTATATTTTTAATCAACGTTTAGTAAAATTAAGAAAAATAAGCATTTCTTTATTTGTGTTACGTATTTTTTTAGAAATCTGTCATTTTAATCACCCTAATAGAAATAGGTTGTTAATCACTGATAACTCTAATGTTAAAACAATATATTTCAATAATACATTATATTTCATTAATATCTATTTCATTAATATATTTTTTCAATATTTAACTATTTTAATAATATTGTAATAATATTATAATATATAATATTATAATATATTATATATAATATAATAATATTATAATATATTTATATAATATTTTAATAATATTATAATATTATATTTATTTATTTTAATAATATTATATTCTAATAATATATAATATTTGTTTCAATAATATATTATTATTGTGAATCAAGATTTACCCAAATTATTATTTCAATAATATATTTCAATAATATATAATTTATTACAATAATATATTATATTCTAATAATATATATTGTTTCAATAATATATTGTTATTGTGACTCAAGATTTACTCAAATTATGGCGCTAGTGATCAATTCTATTTATATTTTATAAACATTATTTTTATTTTTCTTCCGTGTGTGTGTCATAGACGATAACACGGAAACATGAGAATGCATTTTCAAGAATGTTGCATGCTCAAGATGAGAATGCCTGGGTTTTTTGCTATGCCAACATCGATTAACAGGACTTGCCTTTTACGGTGTTAAGCTACATTTGATGTAATTCGCCAGCGTCTCATTGTACGCGTACGCAGAAAGTGAGAGGACGTAAGCTTCTCGTAATAGGCTGCCCGACATTACTTTCACAACGAGAGCAAGGTCTTATTTTCTACATTGATGAGTTTCGCTCTTCCTTTCCCGATGCCCAGCGGGCTTCACTCCGGCGTGTGGTCCGCGCGGCGTTGAAATTTAACATATTCAACAATTTCCATTTCATACGTAATTCATGCAAATTCGAGCGCGCGTGTAACAAAACCGCGAGAACGAATCGCGTGTAATTTATGTTGCACAACAATTATATAATGCAAATCCCATTTGCACAATTATTTTTCGTCGAATCCAAGAGAATAGGGATTTTGAAACGGAATTATACATTTTAATTCAGATTTGTACACGTTAAAGAAACTTCGACGAGGTTTGCGAGTAATTTCACGTTATTTATTACGGCACGCGTTATTTTAAAAATGAAAGGAGGTCTTTGTGAAGCGAGAAGAGAAGGTGTATATCTACATAAGGAAAGATCGTTCGCAGCTTATTTACCGTGTGAATTCTTGCGCAACAGTGCCGATAATGTCGGTATTGTTTTTATCAACGTTCTATAAGTGATTTACACGAGGAGAAGAAATCCTTCTTAACTCGCAGCATTAGTTGAAGAATGCTGCGACATCTCTCGTACAAATCACAAACAGATTTATGCAATCGATTAAAAATTATGTGTTACTTAGATTTTGTCGTAGATTCATAATTATGTCTACAAAGATCGTATCTGTTTTGAATATTAGTTATAAATGTAGTGTTAAAAAGATAAATTGCAGGAAATTTTAATTTCATGACAGATTGTCGGATTTAATTAAGGTAAGAATTTAACCATATGGGGAAAATATTCTAGCAGAAATTACATTAAAATCACATTCCTCTTTATAATTTTTTCCCAAATCTGAATTATATTAAAATTGTTGTATAAATCAAGGTTGTGTGTCGTTGATTTCAAAATTATATTTGTGCAGACTGTTTACGTCTACGTTTACATTTATTATTTGCGTGATGTGTACACGGTCTTCTTTTAGACGATATAAACTATGTAGAACATTGTAAGTTATATTAAGATATACAGAAAATAGAGAGGATAATTAAATTATGAGACAATTGTACATTGTACATATTTTCGGTATTAATATAATATTTAAAATAGATAACACAAATTGGATAAAATTTTCATTTCATTATATGATACATTGGTAGATTTAATTCTATAAAGAAGAGAAAGATAAAATGAAAAGGTGAAGGAAGGGAGAGAAAGAAATAAAGAGAAAGGGAGACAGACAGAAAGAGAGAGATATGTAAGAATGTAACTAAAGAATTCTGTGAACTCTAACTTGTACAGGAAGCAACACGTTCAAAAATTTACATCATGATTCTATCTTAAATAAAAATATAAATTTTTCTTAATTAATTTTTAGACAAGACATGTATTTACGCGTAAATTATGATACTCTATGGTATAAATTACTATTAGAAAATAGTAAATATGACGATCTCTCTCTACTTGACATACAATATTATAATAAAATATCCAACTGATAATAATTTTGTAGTAAAAAGTCAAACGTGCATAATATTTTGGAGTAAATATATTTTGATCATTATTTTGTACAGTTTTAAGTTGCAAAAATTTTGTTGTAATTTTTATTACAATATTTTCTCTGTGTAGAAAATTTTATAAACTATAACTTACTTAAGCAACGTTTATAAGTTATATCAGTATCCTAACTGTTAAATAAAAATGTAAATCTTCTCTTCTTTATTTTTTTTAGTAAACCATACGTTATTTATATATATATATATATATTTAAACAATATTTATAGACTACTCTCATTTTTTATGGGATAAACTTGAATATTATGGCCATACCGGAAAAGATGACCATAGGTTGTAATTTCTCTAATAATTGCAAAACATTGCGTTTTTGTAATTAGTCACAAAGATAATCGATATTTATCGTAGTATATGTGCGTACATTTTCTGAAATAGCAAGATTATGAATATTATACTATGTGTTTATTTTTGATTACCTGTAACATTTCTCATATGTCCATTGAAACTTGCTGTAATGTCGGATAAATTATAGTTAAGTTATTCGCAATCAACGTTAAATACATAAAGAAGGTATGTAAATTGTAATATAACATGCAGTTTTTATTTTTGTTTTCATTATTTGTTTATAAATACTATGGCTGTTTTTCTCTCACATTTTGTGTAAGATGGCCCTCTATCATTTTATGAACATTTATAAAACGAAAATAATGTTTCAAAAATTACTTTCAATATTACAGTAATTAAATCTTATGTGTAATGTTTTGATCAAAAGATTGCATTTAGAATTTAAGTTTTGTAATAGAAGTTTCTATTTTATATGTGTATTATATTTTTCACAAATAATATGTATTAAATATCCCTCACTACCATAAATATGTCAAATTATGTTTTTTTCATTATTTTATAAAATAATAGATACATCTTGAACATAAAATATGAACTATCTATTCCTTAATTCCTGGCCATCTTATCTGAAAAATTCAGGTAAGATAGCTATTGCTCATGTTTTGATATTTTTATAATAAATAATATCAATGAATTATTTTTCCTTTGACTCTGATAGTATTATGTACTGTGGGTTTCAGTGAAATAATGTATAGCCAAACGTTATTAAGAAATAACAAAAAGAAATATATTTATATATAGAAATATATTTTGCATTTTAAAAAAGTATGGCCATCTTATCCGAATTTATCTTATATGAAAGTCATTCGGAAAGTAGGCGACCTAATAGAGAGGTAATGCGAATTTGGCTAAATCTTTATTACCGTATTTCAGAACCATTCTTTATTAGGTTAAGTACAATGACGGTATAAAGTGATGTGTCGATTAGTCTTTGACAATGCGCCAAAGTAAACGTTTCAAATGTCTCTGTGCGTTTATTGTTTTCTTGTTTTTGGAGCGAAGTGATAGACGCATGTTTCAACGGCGGCTATAAACCATTGATAAAAATCCTTCAGACTGCTTCAAAATCATCTCAAAATATGCGAGAAAGAATGAAACTATTCAGTTCAATCTTTGCTGGTGTGACCAAATGCAGAATCCATCGCTTGCAGAGTCCACTTTGGTGCACTGTCAAACCAAAAGTAATCAACAAATTGCTCCATACTGTCATGCTTAATCTAATAAAAAGAAAGCTCTGAAATACATATAAAATAATAAAGATTTGGTCAAATTCGCGCTATCTCTGTATTGGACCATGTGTTTCCCGAACAATTGATGTATTTCGTACATTGTTTATATCGTCTACATATGGACGTAGAGTACAATTATGATCGATGCGCCTGGCACTAGTTGTTACTTCATCATTAAGTATATAGTTTCCTAATTCGTATAATTTTTTGTTGTTAGCAATATTGTATTGATACTCGTTGCCTTTGTTGTCGTGTTTGCACCGTGAGATTATTTTATTTATCCCCCCATCACAGGAGACATCATAGTTGTTGTAGTTGTCGTAGATGTCGTAGATGTCGTAGATGAAGTAGTAGAGCTCGTCGTAGGTGAAGTAGTAGAGCTCGTCGTAGGTGAAGTAGTAGAGCTCGTCGTAGGTGAAGTAGTAGAGCTCGTCGTAGGTGAAGTAGTAGAGCTTGTCGTAGGTGAAGTAGTAGAGCTCGTCGTCGGTGAAGTAGTAGGGTTCGTTGTAGGCGATGATGCTGTAAATTTAAATAAATAAAAAAAAATTTACCTTATAATTTTTTTATTTATCAGTGCGCAATCTTTTCATCGAAGCTCCCATCTCTTAAAAATCGATTATTCCGCAAATATTATCAAAGTTTCATACTGATATTTACATTCGTCATGTGCTCCCTTATAATTCAAATTTAAATTTATATTTAATTCCGTTTTGCAATTACGATTTTATACTAATAATACCAATCGACGAGATGCAAACGAATTCTGAACGCGGAAAAATAGAAAATTATCAAGTAAATTAAATTATATTAATTTACTTCTCGTGTTCTCAAGAAATAATTAAGAATAATGGATAATTTATCGGAATCGATTCATCCGCAATCAGAAATCTTTCCTCTCTTGTTTGGTATTTCTCGTGTTCTTATATACACAGAAAAAAATATCATTCTACTGCTAAGAAAAGCGTTCACTCAATTTACTTTCTTTCTTGGAAATAAAGATTGTCTTTAACAAAGAATATTATCTTGATAATAATCTTAAAATTTACTTACCACAAATTTTGGAGGAATTCATTATCGTGTACTTAAAAGAGAAGAATTTATTCTCTTTACAAGAATATCATAAAATATTCTTGTATAAGTACTTGTATATTTAATATTTATCCAAAAACAATTCGGTTCGATTTTACGTAGTAAACACTAAAGAGTGATCTCAACATGTGTCCCATTTCTGGGCAGTGAAAAATGTACTTAAAATAGATACCAAATTAAAGGCCTTGATGAACTGATTACAAAGATACAAGTTTTAAAGCCGCTCAGTGTACCATTTCAACACTACGGTCCAAAAAGTTCCCAAATTTTAGTTCCTACTTTTTTTATGTTTCTTTAGCAAAACTGTACAGATTTTAAAATTCAAAATGCTACATATAATAAAATTAAATAAAATAACAAATAAGTGTAAATTTATTTTATTGGGAAAGTAAATACCGAAATTTCATTAGTTTAACCGGAAGCGCAATGAATTTTCTTCTGAATCATTTCAAAAATTGAGTTTTGTTTGATTTAGCTTTTGAAATAATTAAGCAAAAACAATTTGAGTATTTTTAATGTTTTTGAGTAGGTTAAGGTGCATTTTCTTATGCACTTCATGTTCCAAAATCAAAGAATTGATGTTCCAATTGGAATTTTCTACTTCCGGTCAGTTTGGAATTTATACCATTAAATTCCTCATTTAATTTTATTAAATGTAGCATTTTGAATTTTTAAAATCCGTTAAGTTTTGCTAAAGAAATATCAGTTTGAAAGTAGCCTAAAATTTGGGAACTTTTTGGATCGTACTGTTGGAACGGTACACTGGGCGACTCTAAAACTTATATCTTTGTAATCAGCTCATCAAGGCCTTTAATTTGGTGCCTATTTTAAATACATTTTTCACTGCCCAGAAATGGAGCACATGGCCTATGGACCAGTGGCATCATTTTTTTATTTTTAATTTTTTATAATTATTAATTTAATAATTTATAATAATTAATTTAATATTGCTGATTGAGATGCTAAGTTTACTATACTAAGAGAAATTATTCGATAAGAAATTAACAAATGAATATTTCCGATCAAAATATCGATAAATTTTTGTATCCGATCAGGGGTTGTATTCTTGAAAAATATCGTATACGATATTTAAAAAGCTATAATATACATAACATGAATTATATAGCTTTACATAGAAATATCGTATGCGATATTTCTCGAGAATAAGACCCCAGGAAACGTCCGATGAGAAATATCAGTTCATAATTTTTTGGTCGGTTTATCTGATGAAATGCCATTGCGATCGGAAATATTCGATTTAATCGAATATTCTGATCGGATATAAAAATTCATTTGTACTTTGATCAGAAATATCCGCTTGTTAATATTTTATCGGATAATTTCTCGCAGTGTAGAATTCAGAATATAATTTTGTAGAAATTTGATGCTTATGATGATCTTATGATAGACTTGCGGATATATAAACTTATGAAATACTTTAAACAAGTAACGTTTACTTGCGGTATTCATATATGTGTTACATAGTATTTCTGTATATATTGTATAGAATATATTTCTCTATGTGTGTGTACCTGTAGTCGACTGGGTCGTCATCGGCGAAGCTGTCGATGGCGCGTTTCCTGGTGTGGTCGTACCGTGCGGCAAATATAATTCGGGGCACTTAATAGCGCATATGCGATTCACAATATACGACGTGGTGTCCGCGGACATGCAAATCGAGCTATTACAGAGGTATTTCCGTAGGTTGTCGAAAAAGTTAAAGCCTAATCTCGGCTCTATGGTCTCCAGAGACTTAGGCAGCTCGTCATCGTATTCTATTTGCTCCTAAATGACATGTATCACTTTCAATACGCTTGTTTTCTCATCAATATTATCCCTTTCCCATTGCATCATACGACAATCATTGCACTAATTAGTGTACACAATTGCTGTCATCGCGGCGCGGAAGAGAAAGACTCGAAACACTTGAGATTAATTAATATAAATTTACATTACCTCCGCCAAGAGCGTTCCAAACAACATCAGCAGCACAACACAAATACTCAAGCGTGACATACTTGTTTCTTTATAGAAATCTCCGCTTCGCTAACTCCGTTTTTCCTCGCCGTATACAGTTTCAATGATCCCCGAGTGAACGGTCGGCGCGTTTATATAGACACGAGATTTATATTTCAAGAAATCCGAACGTGACAAATAAGCGCACCAACATATTACTCACCTACCTCCTGGATCTGTTTCCGTAGATTACAGACGTTCCTTATCTCGCTCATTAGACGTTCTGAAAACATTACAATACGACGTATAGATACGCGTGCTTTATCATCATGGACGTTCCACTTTTTCGAATCCCCCTCGGACCTTCTTCTTGCCTATTTACGTCTTTGTACTAAATGATTGCTTATTCATTCAGAAGTGATTTAGTGGTGAAACTATTCAAAAGAAAAAGGAAAAACAGCGTGAAAAACAAATAGATTTAAGAGTGTCTCATCATTAATTAAAATATTCCAATACCTTGTATTAAATATTTCAGATATCTCTCGTCACTGGAAATTCATCTGAATCACCAATAAATAAAGGACCTATTTTTATAAAGACACGTATGCTTGTACTGTCATCAGGAAATATTGCTTCTGCGTACTATACGTGATAATTGTAACAGAGAAACGATAAAGACGACATCTTCTTCGCGCCTTCATCTCGTCTTAAAACGCCACGACACGTGACTAGAATATAAAAGAGGACATCGTTGCGAGAATTAAGAAGGTCGGAATATTATTTTTACCTAGAATCCTCGAGTATTCCGACGCGTCGCTGATTAGCCAAATTAGCACAAGAAAGGTATCGCTTCGTGTCATATTTATCTTTACGGCTGGGTCGTATGTAACCCGTCCCCCGTGCTAGTAAAGCGCGAACTCTTTCTGCTTGTAAAAATGTGCAAGATTTATGCGCAAACGTCGCGAGATGCGATTCGCAGACGCACGTTTGTCGTTAAACTGAACATTCGCGGCATCGACGAAGCTGTTATCTCGGATAAAGATACGTGGGCGTCAGGACCTTCTTCAGCTAAGGTATAGCGTTCGATAACATTTGCCTTCGATGGGGAAAGACCTCGAGCGAATTTTTCGTGAAGAGAAACGCAGAATTGTTTCCTCGTCGTGTCCATCTTGATTTATGACGTCAGGAGCAAGAAAATACAACCTCAAAATTTTCACAAAATATATTTAAATAAAATGATCGCAAAATGACACTTGCAATCGATCGAGCAGGTCTGAAAAAACAGACTTGCCCTAATAATGAACAAATAAGCGTAAAAATTAATGTGACAGAATTAAATAGAGAGGCTCCTGTTTGCTCGTCACGGTCATTTTGATTTATAACGTCAAATACGAGAAAATACACGCTCAAAATTCTTACAGAATATATTGAAATAAATTGATGTTCACAAAATGACACTTGCAGTCAATCAAGTGGATCTGTAAAATAGGCCGAACACTTTTCTTTTGCTTTAATAATCAGCGAATAGCCGCAAAATTAATCAGATAAAATCAGATAGAAAAACCCCTGTTCCCTCGTTGTAACGGTCTTGACGTTGGCGTCAGAAGCAAGAAAATACACGCTCAAAATTCTTGCAAAATATATTGAAATAAAATGATTACAAAGTGACACATGCAATCGATTGAGCAGGTCTGAAAAATAAGCTGAACACTTTCCTTTTGCTCAAGCAGTCAACAAATAAGCGTAAAATGTGACAGAATTAGATAGAGAGGCTCCTGTTTGCTCGTCATAGTTATTTTGATTTGTAACATCAGATGCGAGAAAATACACTTTCGAAAGTCTTACAGAATATATTGAAATAAATTGATATGTTCACAAAATTACACTTGCAGTCAATCAAGCAGATTTGTAGAATAGGTCGAACTTTCCTTTTTATTTAATAATTAGTTAATTAACGTGATATAATTACAAAATTAATGTGATAGAATCAAATAGAAAGGCTTTTATTTTCTTGCCGTGGCTGTCTTAACTTATGACGTTAGAAGCAAGAAAATACACGCTCAAAATTCTTGCAAAATATATTAAAATAAAATGACAAAAATTAAATTACAAAATGACAAATGCAGTCGATCGAGCAGGTCTGGAAAATAGATTGAACACTTTCCTCTTACTCTAACAATCAACAAATAAACGCAAAATTAACCTGATAATATCATGAAAAAAGATAGCTTGCACATGTTAATTTTATGATAATTATTTGATTGTAGAACAAAAGAAAAAATGTTCGGGCTATTTCACGAGTTTGCTCGATTGATTACAAGTATCATTTTATGGATATATGTTTTTATTTCAACGTATTTTGCAAGAATATTGAGCGTGTATTTTTTCGCTTCTGACGTCATCAATCAAGAGTCCCGTGACGTGCAACTAAGAGTCTTAATTTTACATACAGGATCCGCCAACGAAAACTTTCTATCCCGATTATTCTGTAACCAATTGATTTTTGTCAAAAATGCTGATACATGTTAATATTGTTTTTAAAGGAACTATATGATTGTGATAAATTTAACTATATTACTTCATCCCCTTAATTAGGATAACTACTCCCCAAGAAATCTTAAATAGCAATAGAGATCAAATAATATATCATTTCAAAGATATTTTAATTCTCTTCACAACGATGTTTATGTTTTTAAACTTGAGTGAATATTTTTTGAAAAATTGTACTTAGAAATTTTGAGTACGAAAAATTAAATATTCACAATTTAGATAGATTTATTTTATTAAATGTTCAAAGTACCGTCCATCGACTTCCATACAATTGTAAATTTTTCGTTTAAAATTGCTACGAATATTTTGAAGTATTTATGATGTTATCCGACAACTTATTTAATATAATATACGTCGTAAGACTTTTTGCAAGGATTCAATTGAAATTTGATGCAAGGTTTGATAGTATTGTTATTGTTTTGCCGATAGCGAATGTCACGCTCAGGTCGATCGAGAGACGGCACTTTGAACATTTAATAAAATAAATCTTTCTTTAAATTATGAATATATATATACAGGGTGGACCATTTTAATCCATCCAGTCGAATATGTCGAAAACCAAGCACGGGAGAGAAAAATTTTTCAGACAAAAGTTGTTTGGTTTCGAGGGGACCATAAGATGGTATCATTGCTTTGACCTTGAAGAATTATTTGAAAGTCACATGAAAGTCACCTTAATTTTTTTAAACGGCATCCTCTATTTTTTATTACATATTCTTGTAGCTGACCTCGAGAGCTTTCCAAAACATTCTAATGAAATGTTTCTTCATTGAGTACTTTTCGAGTTATAAAGCTCCAAAGTTGCAATATGAAAAAATTCAAAATATCTCGTAAAGTATTCACTTTCCGTCTTATCTTACACGATTCAACTAGTCAAGGCAAGAATTGGACATGATCCAACCGGTCAAGGCAAGATCTGGACATGATCCAACCAGTGAAGGCAAGATCTGGACATGATCCAACCAGTGAAGATAAGATTTGGACATGATCCACTGGTTGAA